CAGTTTTGGTCGTGTTTAACATCAAACAGTTTAAGGTCATCCACGTTTTTAAGTCCTTAAGGCAGTCTTGAATTTTATTTAGATGATTAATTTCATCAGGCTTGATTGATAAATATAGTTGAGTATCATCCGCATAACAATGAAAATGTACAGAATGATTCCTTATAATATTGCCTAACGGAAGCATATATAATGTGAACAAAATAGGTCCGAGCACTGAGCCCTGTGGCACTGTCACGGCTGCTGCTGCTGTCTGCTCATTAACCTGCCTGTGAGTGTTTTCAGCTGTGGGTGATTATGTAAATGAGCTGTGTGGTTGCCCCAACATCATTGGCTGTCATCTCCTGGTCCACTTCCGAGGACACTGATTGGAGCACGCCGGGTCCGACGTTCTCTAATCCCTGTGCCAGCCCAGCGCACACCTGCTGGAGAGGACTACAAAGCCTGGGAACTATCACCACTCTGGAGGCTCTGCTGCGATCAGACGCCTCATACCTTTTTGCTCTTGTGTCATGGACATTACAGACTGTGCTTAGTGACGAGTGTCCATATATGTGTTCAGTGTCGTGTGACAACTTATGTGCTTAGTATTGAGTGTGGAGATATGTGTGTAGAAGTAGTGTGCTGTGTAGGATATTGTGAAACAGCTTAGACCCAGGTAACTAGCACCTGTTGATCAGCTACAGCTGTGCCTTCCTTTATTTAGTTGTACCACTGTTAAAGTGAGGTTTTGTTTCATTTTCGATATTAGTATTTATTTATTCTGTATGCCAGTAGACTCCTTTTTAAGAGTCATCCCTTTGTTTGGTCAATTGTCAACCGGTGCCCTTTTGTTTGTTTCAGGCTGCCTGCCTGCCATTTTTGTTACACTTTGCATTATAATAAAGCCACTTATAATTAATACCAATACCACTGGTCGTGTCGCTTCCCTTTGGTTCCCCTAGCCCAATAGGGAACGTAACAGGCACTCCATGGCTAACTTTGGTTTGCGTGGAAGATTCATCGTTGACACGTACAAACTGAGAGCGTTCAGATAGATAGGACCTAAACCAGTCTAAAGCAGTTCCCTGTATGCCAACTAAGTGCTCTAGTCTTTGCAATAAGATATCATGGTCGATAGTATCAAATGCAGCACTGAGATCGAGCAAAACAAGAATAGAGACACGTCCCTTGTCAGAGGCTATTAGAAGGTCATTTGTGACTTTAACCAGAGCTGTCTCTGTGCTATGATGTGTTCTAAAGCCAGACTGAACATCTTCAAATAAATCATTGTTTTTTAAGTAATCAGCTGCTTTGCGACCGCTTTCTCAAGAATTTTTGAGAGGAACGGAAGATTGGAAATAGGTCTATAGTTGGCTAAAACCTCTGGATCGAGGTTGTGCTTTTTAAGAAGCGGTTTTATCACTGCTACTTTGAATGATTGTGGAACATAGCCTGATAATAAAGACATATTCATAATATTTAATAAAGAAGTGCTAATTAATGGAAAAACTTCCTTCAACAGCTTAGTTGGAATTGGGTCTAACATACACGTTGATGGTTTAGAAGAGAGAATCATTGAATTTAATTGTTCAAGGTTTATGGCTGAAAAGCATTCTAGTTTACTATCTAGTGTAATATTAGAACTTACGTTTCCGGGAGCTGTTGATAACACTATACTGGTCAAAGGCAAGAGGTCATTCATTTTGTTTCTAAGAGTAACAATGTTATCGTTAAAAAAGCACATAAAATCATTACTACTGAGTGCTATGGGAATAGAAGGCTCAATCGAGCTGTGGCTCTCTGTCAGCCTGGCTACAGTGCTGAAAAGAAATCTTGCATTATTCTTATTCTCATCTATTAATGAAGAGTAGTAGGCTGCTCTCGCTTTACGCAGTGCTTTCTTATATTCATTGAGAGTAATATGCCAAATTAAACGAAATTCTTCAAGTTTAGTGGAACGCCATATCCTTTCAAGTTGTCTCGACTATTGCTTTATTTTGCGGGTTTGGGCATTATGCCATGGAGCTAATCTATGTTGTTTTATTTTCTTCTTTTTCAAAGGAGCAACAGAGTCTAATTTTATTCGCAGCGCATCTGTAGCACTATCAACAACATGATCAATTTGGGGTGGTGTACATTTTGTATAAGTTTCCTCCCTTACATGCAGACATGCTATCGAGTTAAGTATTGGTGGAATCTCTTCCTTAAATGTGGCTATAGCACTAACAGATAGGTTTCTGCTGCAGGAGCTTTTGACTAATGCTTTGTAGTCTCGTAACAGTACTTCAAAAGTTACTAAGAAATGGTCGGATAAAGCAGGATTATGCGGTTCGACTAATAGTTGCTCAATTTCAATACCATAAGTCAGAACAAGGTCGAGAGTGTGATTATAGCAGTGGGTTGGTTTATTTACACTCTGACAAAAACCAACATAATCTAATATAGAGTTAAATGCAACAGTAAGGCTATTTTTATCATCGTCAACATGAATATTAAAGTCACCTACGATAATTACTTTATCTGTTTTAAGAACCAAAGTTGATAAAAACTCAGAGAATTCAGATAAGAATTCTGAATAAGGACCTGGTGCACGGTACACTGTAACAAATAAGATTTGTCGGATGCGTAAGACTAAAAACGAGACTTTCAAAGGAGGTATCATTTAATTTTGGTTTAGTATTGATAAGTAAACTTGAGTCAAAGATTGCTGCAACTCCACCTCCTCGGCCCGTGCCTCGGGCAATATGAGTATTGATATGGCTGGGTGGAGTGGCCTCATTTATGCTGACATATTCTTCATGTCTCAACCAAGTTTCAGTGAGACAGCATATATCAATATTATAATCTGATATTAAATCATTTACCAATATTGCTTTAGATGCTAGAGATCTTATGTTTAAGAGACCACATTTAATATTCCTGTTTTGTTGCACTGTAGTAGTTGTTACATTTACTTTGATTAGGTTATTATGTATGACACCTCTATTAGGTTTTACCTTAACTTGTCCTTGGGCAGACACACACACCGCTAATATTGGGTATTTTATTGGGTTCGGGATTCCTATGGATGACTGCCTAGGAGAGAGCGCAGAGAAGCGTGTAAGACTGCGACTCCGCCTCCTGGTCTCAACTCCAGTTTGTCATGGATTAAGTCCACAAAGCCCTGAAATGTTTGCCGAAATGAGATGTGCACCTTCCAAAGTAGGATGAATGCCGTCTCTCTTAATCAGACCAGGTTTTCCCCAGAAGGCTGTCCAATTATTTACGAAGCCCACATTGTTTGCCGATTACTGATTTCCTTAACATTCTGGGATGAGAGTCCACATCACAATTGACTCTAAACTGTCATTTCCCTTTCATCACTCACCTCAGCAACGGACCTCTCTCCACTGTCCCTGTGTTCTGCCTCTGACTCACTCTCAAGTGCCTAGATGTCAAGAGAGGTGGTGAAGTGATCACTATTTATTGAGCAGTATACTCTTTCACATTGAATCATAACAAGTCATACTGAATGTAAATACAACTCACTCTAAAGTAAGTCCCAGTCTGTGACATTGGACATTTTGAAGACTCAAAGTCCCAAGCAGTAGGTAGAATATTAGCTGTGTATGTAATGTGCACAGAAAATAAATAGTTAACTGAATACTGGGATGGAAATGGCCTATAAGCACTCAGTAAAACATAAACACACAAAAAGCTTCTGAATGATAAGAAGTATAATTAAAACATAATGCACATTATCATTTTGAGAGAGAGTACCGAAGTTAAAGAACTCAGAAAATAATCCACACTGACTGCGTCTCTACATGGACATCAGTAAGCCGTTTATGAGTATTATCCCGGTTATGATCATATTGGGGATATGTTGTTTACATGAGCACAGAGAGATCGGTTATTCATGTTCCCTGTTTACATGATAAATACTAGTAACCTGGCATTTCGATGCCTTTTCTCATCTAAACTATTCAGTATTTGTATCTCTATCATGACATAAAGTTGAAACTCCTCTCCAGAAGTGAGACGCCGCCGCCGCCATCACTGCTAACTGATTAACTGCTACCAGCTGAAGACTTACTTTCCTCTTCTTTGAAACAAATGTTCTTATGTCCATGTTGTCTGGGGGAGAAAACATATCAAACCAAGAGATCGTCAGCTTTGATTTTCGCTGTATTAACCATGTCCTGTACACTTGGTGTGTGTGCCTTACCTCCGCTACCGGCATCACTTCAACAGATCTGAGCTGTCCAACTATGGCAACACTCCTTGAACATGCGCGCGCTATGGGAGAATCTGCCTTGGTACAAAGTAGCAGTGAAAACATGGGACGGAGTTTCATTGATTTGGGCATTCTCTCAATAAGCAAGTGGAATGGATTTGATATGAAGCACTGACACAGCGCTCTACAAAGTGCGGCGAGTGGAGAGACCGATTCACGGACTTTCCACATGGTAGAAGTGGGGGGGTCTAAACTAATCATTTCAAAAAGTGGGGGGGACTTGTCCCACCCTCATATAATGGCTGCGACGCCCATGAAACCAGAGTTATATATATTAGTGTTTCCCCTACCATTGTCTTGGAGCCCCGCGCCCCTCCTGAAATGCAAGGAGTTTAACAAAATAATTATAATTTCTTTATTATATATATATATATATATATAGCACCAAATTGCAACTAATCTCTATGTACTGTCATTTTTCACATTGAACATGTGCTCTTTTATTAAATAAACTAAACATTTATTTGAAGTTGTGAGTTTAGTGTTTTAGACCCTAAAAAACTGATGCATTAATCAATGCATCAGTGTTTGATTAATGCAGCTCCTCTCTGCTCCAGAGGATTTTAAATATATATATCCCAACACACACACACAATTACACACACAATTACACACACACACACACACACCACACACACACACACACACACACACACACACACACACACACACACACACACACACACACACACACACACACACACACACACACACACACACACACACACACACACACACAGAGTTGAAGTGTGAATCTTTATTTTCCACCTCGATGAAAACACAAACATAGAAATCTTTTACAAAAACAACCAGACGAAGTGAAATAAAAGACGGCAGATGATTCTCTACAATATTTTACATTAAAAACGGACCAATCAGGAGCCTCCATCTGAGTCTCTGATGGGGTGGGGGACTACCGGCTACGGCCCCCCCTCGGTGGTCCTCTGGGGGCGGGGCCTCCTCTCCGGGGGGCGGGGCCTCCGGGGCCCCAGCCTCCTCGACCCCCCCGAACACCGTACCCCCCGTCCTCCCTCTGGGGGGGGCGCCCTGCACACACACACACACACACACACAGCAGGTTAGGCTTCACAATAAGAGCGCGATGAGAGCGTGATGACCTGGCTTCACAATAACAGCGCGATGACCTGACTTCACAATAAGAGCGCGATGACCTGACTTCACAATAAGAGCGCGATGACCTGACTTCACAATAAGAGCGCGATGACCTGACTTCACAATAAGAGCGCGATGACCTGACTTCACAATAACAGCGCGATGACCTGACTTCACAATAAGAGCGCGATGACCTGACTTCACAATAAGAGCGCGATGACCTGACTTCACAATAAGAGCGCGATGACCTGACTTCACAATAACAGCGCGATGACCTGACTTCACAATAACAGCGCGATGACCTGACTTCACAATAACAGCGCGATGACCTGACTTCACAATAACAGCGCGATGACCTGACTTCACAATAAGAGCGCGATGACCTGACTTCACAATAAGAGCGCGATGACCTGACTTCACAATAAGAGCGCGATGACCTGACTTCACAATAAGAGCGCGATGACCTGACTTCACAATAACAGCGCGATGACCTGACTTCACAATAAGAGCGCGATGACCTGACTTCACAATAAGAGCGCGATGACCTGGCTTCACAATAACAGCGCGATGAGAACGCGATGACCTGACTTCACAATAACAGCGCGATGAGAACGCGATGACCTGGCTTCACAATAACAGCGCGATGACCTGACTTCACAATAACAGCGCGATGACCTGACTTCACAATAACAGCGCGATGAGAACGCGATGACCTGACTTCACAATAACAGCGCGATGACCTGACTTCACAATAAGAGCGCGATGACCTGACTTCACAATAACAGCGCGATGAGAACGCGATGACCTGACTTCACAATAACAGCGCGATGAGAGCGCGATGACCTGGCTTCACAATAACAGCGCGATGACCTGACTTCACAATAAGAGCGCGATGACCTGACTTCACAATAAGAGCGCGATGACCTGACTTCACAATAACAGCGCGATGAGAGCGCGATGACCTGGCTTCACAATAACAGCGCGATGACCTGACTTCACAATAACAGCGCGATGAGAGCGCGATGACCTGACTTCACAATAACAGCGCGATGACCTGACTTCACAATAACAGCGCGATGACCTGACTTCACAATAACAGCGCGATGACCTGACTTCACAATAACAGCGCGATGACCTGGCTTCACAATAACAGCGCGATGAGAGCGCGATGACCTGACTTCACAATAAGAGCGCGATGACCTGACTTCACAATAAGAGCGCGATGACCTGACTTCACAATAAGAGCGCGATGACCTGACTTCACAATAAGAGCGCGATGACCTGACTTCACAATAAGAGCGCGATGACCTGACTTCACAATAACAGCGCGATGACCTGACTTCACAATAAGAGCGCGATGACCTGACTTCACAATAAGAGCGCGATGACCTGACTTCACAATAAGAGCGCGATGAGAGCGCGATGACCTGGCTTCACAATAACAGCGCGATGACCTGACTTCACAATAAGAGCGCGATGACCTGACTTCACAATAAGAGCGCGATGACCTGACTTCACAATAAGAGCGCGATGACCTGACTTCACAATAAGAGAGCGCGATGACCTGACTTCACAATAAGAGCGCGATGACCTGACTTCACAATAAGAGCGCGATGACCTGACTTCACAATAAGAGCGCGATGACCTGACTTCACAATAAGAGCGCGATGACCTGACTTCACAATAACAGCGCGATGACCTGACTTCACAATAAGAGCGCGATGACCTGACTTCACAATAAGAGCGCGATGACCTGACTTCACAATAAGAGCGCGATGACCTGACTTCACAATAAGAGCGCGATGACCTGACTTCACAATAAGAGCGCGATGACCTGGCTTCACAATAAACAGCGCGATGACCTGACTTCACAATAAGAGCGCGATGACCTGACTTCACAATAAGAGCGCGATGACCTGGCTTCACAATAAGAGCGCGATGACCTGACTTCACAATAAGAGCGCGATGACCTGACTTCACAATAAGAGCGCGATGACCTGGCTTCACAATAAGAGCGCGATGACCTGACTTCACAATAAGAGCGCGATGACCTGACTTCACAATAAGAGCGCGATGACCTGACTTCACAATAAGAGCGTGATGACCTGACTTCACAATAAGAGCGCAATGACCTGACTTCACAATAAGAGCGCGATGACCTGACTTCACAATAAGAGCGCGATGACCTGAATTCACAATAAGAGCGCGATGACCTGGCTTCACAATAAGAGCACGTACCTCCTTCGGGCCCCGGGGCCTCCCTCTCTGCGGTCCCCGGCCCCTCCTGCCAGGGTCTCTTGCGGGGAGGCAGCGAGGCCATGTCCATGCCCTGCAGGGAGGAGGAGCGCCCCACCGGAGACGACCCATCATGCATCTGGCCCTCATGATACCCCTCGTGACCTGCAGACAGGAAGCCGGAAGTTACTCTTTAAAACAGCTAGTAGTTTATGAGTACATTTCAAAGCCCTCTTTACTTTTCTCTGGAGTTCAGTCAGAAATACCTGGTTGGTATTAAATCCAGCCGTGATGTTGGACGACTTTATGTTCTGTGTATTTCCTAAGCTGTTCATGTGATATGAGAATAGTTGGAGTAAGGTCTGTGTGAAGTTAGATGCTAACCTGCTGGATGCTACCTGCTGGATGCTAACCTGCTGGATGCTAACCTGCTGGATGCTACCTGCTGGATGCTACCTGCTGGATGCTAACCTGCTGGATGCTAACCTGCTGGATGCTAACCTACTGGATGCTACCTGCAGGATGCTAAACTGCTGGATGCTACCTGCTGGATGATAACCTGCTGGATGATAACCTGCTGGATGATAGATAACCTGCTGGATGCTACCTGCTGGATGCTACCTGCTGGATGCTAACCTGCTGGATGCTAACCTGCTGGATGCTTACCTGCTGGATGCTACCTGCTGGATGCTAACCTGCTGGATGCTACCTGCTGGATGCTTGGATGCTACCTGCTGGATGCTAAACTGCTGGATGCTACCTGCTGGATGATAACCTGCTGGATGATACCTGCTGGATGATAGATAACCTGCTGGATGCTAACCTGCTGGATGCTTGGATGCTAACCTGCTGGATGCTAACCTGCTGGATGCTACCTGCTGGATGCTAAACTGCTGGATGCTACCTGCTGGATGCTAACCTGCTGGATGCTAACCTGCTGGATGCTAACCTGCTGGATGCTAACCTGCTGGATGCTACCTGCTGGATGCTAAACTGCTGGATGCTACCTGCTGGATGCTAACCTGCTGGATGCTAACCTGCTGGATGCTAACCTGCTGGATGCTAACCTGCTGGATGCTACCTGCTGGATGCTAAACTGCTGGATGCTAACCTGATGGATGCTAACCTGCTGGATGCTACCAGCTGCTGGATGCTAACCTGCTGGATGCTAACCTGCTGGATGCTACCTGCTGGATGCTAAACTGCTGGATGCTACCTGCTGGATGCTAACCTGCTGGATGCTAACCTGCTGGATGCTACCTGCTGGATGCTACCTGCAGGATGTTAACCTGCTGGATGCTAACCTGCTGGATGCTAACCTGCATATGTTGGATATTTACACAATTAGCATAAGTTGCATAATTAGCATTTGCAGAAAACGGCGAAAACAAGCTTTGCATAATGCTCCTCACCTCCTCCTCCTCCTCCTGCTCCTGCTCCTGCTCCTGCTCCTCGGGGGGCCTCCCTCGGGCCCCCCCCTCGGGCCCCGGGGTCCCAGCCTCGGCTCCCGTCTTCCGGCCCCTCGAAGCCCTCCTCCGACCCGCTGAACTCCTCAGGGAAACCCCGAGCGCCGGGCCGCCCGCTTCCTCTGAACCTGGAGCAGAACCACAGGAAGGGCGTTAGGAGACCCGTACAAACCCTCAGAGACAGCAGGAGCTTCGAGTCAGAACCAGTCTGAGGTCAATGATAATAACCCCTGACCTTAAATACTGCGCTAGTATCAGGAAAACACGAACAAATGATGATGATGATGTGTGGGTCAATGTGAACAGAAACTCAGTCCATTACAACATGCTGAGCTGGAAACAGCGCTGCTGATGCTCAGACCATCCCCCAGGTGTGTGGGTGGGTCTGTTATGGCGCGTTTCCACTGCTCGGCCTCGCTCGGTTTGGTTAGGCCTTATTAGGCCCGGCTCACTTTAATGCTGCGCTTCCATTACAGTTTAGGAACTGGGGTAGTTACTATAGTAACGCAGTGTAGGCGGAGCCGTGACGTCATCTTCAATGAGCGAGCGCCCCAAAAAACAACACAGCCGTTAGCTGTTAGCACTCAGAGCTCACAGCTCCTGATATCTGTTCAGAAACTAGACAAAAGTTAAACAAGTACAAACCACAGACTGCCTGTGTCATGGCGAATACAGTCGCTGGTTTATTTATGTCTGTATAGGCCGTTGTTGTGAGTGTGGACGGTCGGAGCATATATAACGTTAGCTTAGCCAAGCTCCATTTAGAAAACACGCATTTTAAAAGGTGTTTCTCTGCCGTCTGTCTGCAGACTTGTCAAAGCATTAATTCATGGTTTTTACTAACCGGTATCAGTATGTTGTTACTTCGGCATCATTTAAAAACGTGTATTACAATTAAATCACGGTCAAATATGTTCATCTTGTTGTAGTTGTAGCCCCCTTGCCAGCGATTCTCTCTCTAGTTTAGCATACTCAGCCCGACTCAGCCTGGTTGTTCCTGGCCCTAGAACCACGATTTAGTCGGGCCAGAAAAAAAGGTGAAAAGTAGCCCCGGGCCAAAACTAGGCCAAGTGGACGCGCAACCAAAAACGGGCCCCGCACGGCTCGGCACGCTTAAAGAGAGCTACCCGCTGCAGTGGAAACGCGCCATAAGAGAGTTCCTTACACTGTGGATTTACTCTTCTGAATCTTTTCTACTGAGAAATGAACATCTTGTTTTTCATGTTTATTTTATTCTATTTTACAGAAATGTTGTGATTGTTGTTTATTGACTTCAAAATGTTTCTGACTGAACTATTTCTCAACTTGGGATAAATAAAGGATCCATCTTCTCTTTAGTTTGTTTTCACATCGATTCAGTAGAACGCTCACATGCTAACACGCTAACGTGCTAATACGCTCACATGCTAAGACGCTAACGTGCTAAGACTAGGGCTGCAACAAACGACTCATTTGATAATCGATGAATCTATCGATTAATGAAACGATTAATCGACTATTCGGACTATTGCTGTACGCCTTGCACAATTTCTCAAGCGCTCTGATTTAGCTCAACTTGTAGATGTAGCTTGAGGTTGTTTCAGGCATGTGGAAACTAACAAGACAATCAAGATGAATACTTGATTCAAAAATACATATATTATTAAATTAACTAAACACATTTTGAACAAAACTAACATTGCTTTTTATTTAAAGTAACTAAATAATATTTCACATCAAAAGAAACAACAATGTTTTAACAAATGGTTTTAAATAATGTGATGACAGAACTTTAACAAACTAAATAACTCAGTTCCCTCTAATCATTAACCCGTGTTTGTATCATGTAGTTAACGTGCTAATACGCTCACACGCTAACGTGCTAATACGCTCACACGCTAACGTGCTAATACGCTCACACGCTAACGTGCTAATACGCTCACACGCTAACGTGCTAATACGCTCACACGCTAACGTGCTAATACGCTCACACGCTAACGTGCTAATACGCTCACACGCCAACGTGCTAACACGCTCACTTGCTAACACCTCACCTGTCGTCCCTTCGGCCCCGGAACTCCCCACCGGGGAACCTCTCTTCGGAGCCCCAGTTGCCCCCCCCCCCTCTGTGGCCCCCCCGGTACCCCGGCCTCCAGCCCTCCTCCGCTCTGCTGTGGAAGTCCTGTCCCCCTTCGAAGTCCTGTGGCCCCCGGCGGCCCCTGCTGCTCGCCCCAGTAGGGGCCCGAGCCCTGGTCCTGCCCCCCCCCCTGTCTCTCGGGGGGGCCCATGTGGTGGTTGGGCGGGGGCCCTCGGGGATCTGAGGAGAGGAAACAGACGTTATCAGGACGGGGAGGGGGCCTCGCGGTGATTAACCTGCACAGGGGCCCCTCCCTCTTACCTTTGTTGTTGGACCCCTGAGAACCCATCCCGTGCATCATGGGCCCCGAGTTCTGCATGTATGAGGCCCCCTGCATGTTCCCTGGGGGTCCCTGCATGTTCCCTGAGGGTCCCTGCATGTTCCCTGAGGGCCCCTGCATGTTCCCTGAGGGCCCTTGCATGTTCCCTGGGGGTCCTTGCATGTTCCCTGGGGGTCCTTGCATGTTGCCTGGGGGCCCCTGCATGTTTCCTTGGGGCCCCTGCATGTTTCCTGGGGGTCCCTGCATGTTTCCACGGGGCCCCTGCATGTTACCAGGGGGGCCCCTGCATGTTTCCATGTGGTCCTTGCATGTACCTGGGGGCCCACTGCATGTTTCCTGGTGGCCCGTGCATCCCTCCCGGGGGGCCCCTGCATGTTGCCCATCCCATAGTTTGTTTTGTGTCCTGGGTGGGGGCCCCCATCATGCCCCCTTGAGGGTGGCATCATGGCCCCCCTGAGGTTGGAGGTCCCTGAGGGTCTCTTGGCCCCATTCCTCGAGGAGGGGGGGGCCCATCATCCCTCCATGGGGCCCCTGCATCCCCTCTGGGTTCCCATACCGTGAGGCCCCTGGGGTCCCATGTTCCTGGGAGGGCCAGGGTTGTTTCTCTGCATGTACGGGGGGCCCCATCATGCCCTGATGGTGGTCCCTGGTGAGCCTGGGGTCCAGAGGGGGGCACCATCTGTACGGGGGGCATGAAGGGAGGCTGCATGGGGGGCCCATGTTGTTGGGCATCTGCTGAGGAGGCATGTTGGGGGGAAAGCCCTGCTGGCCAGGAGGCATCGGGCCCCCGGGGCCTCCAGGGCCAGAGAAGGGGGGCATCGAGCCCTGAGGGGGGCCCCATGTTCCCGTCTGAGCTCATCTTCATCTGCTGAGAGGAAAACACACAGGTCAGAGTTAGGGATGGGAATTTGAAAGCAAATGTATATTCGAATACTCGACCCCCCAAAAAACGGTTAACCGAAATGTACATATCCTATAAAAAAAAAAATTGGGTAAAGAAATGTAGGATTTTTTTTTTCCAATAATTTTTGGAAATAAATAAATACATGTTCAAATAAGTGTAGAAACCAAGTCGAATGTGACAAATGTATTGAACTGGTGATCACAGTTTGACAGCTATAGGCCTACAGCTTTCATGTGCGGGAAGAGATTCACAATCAGCCCAGCTGTAGAGAAGACCCTCTCAGCTGGAACGGAGGGTTGCGGTTAGAGCAAGGTATAGCATGTGTATAAGTTTAATTCGGCATAGTTTGACCTTCTACACCGCACTCACTAACCTGGTCGAAATATTTCCCACACTCCTTTTTGACGCCATGTCTGTTGTGTAGGACTCTTCTTAGAGTGTAAATAATTACCGGACTATGACTGGTAAAATATGTTGAATACCGGCAAAACTAAATCTCTCCTGTCAAAATGTCTCTGCACTTTGCCGCCACACACGGTTGCCAAGCAGCGAGTGTTGTTGTTTAGGCTGGCCATGTGTCGCGAGTGTTGACAGGGGGCGGGGAGCGCGCTCATGAACTGTTAGCGCCGGAACCTCGCAACGGCTGCGGAGCGCATTAAGGCCTAAGATGAGGTTTGAGTCTGCGTGATCTGCGTGTAGGGAGGGGTAGCAGCCATATCATTGGCTAGAACTAGATCTGATGGATTTGGACATAAACACGAGTGAAGTATAACCAGACGCGAGAGAGAGAGATCAGCACCTGCAGCTCTGCCTGCTATGAGGGGCCGGTGAGCAGAGCAAAACACACCTTTAGACCTGACACACTCAGCTATGGCACTGTCGTATACATTGAATTATTCAATTTGATAATATGTAATCAACTTAGGCACCCTCCCAAAAAAAAAACAAAAAAAAAAAAACTATACAAATATTCATAACTCATATTCGAATACCTGAATAATTTCGAATATTCGATAATCGTTCCCATCACCCTAGTCAGAGTTAGGGGCCCCTGATCCTCTGCATACTGAGAGACTACTGACACCTGTTAGTGAGACCTGAGTTACTGATAGGAGAGAGCTAACAGCTAACGGCCAAAAGCTAACAGCTAACGGCTACTGTTGGTTTCTGATTCAAAACCGTTACGGATAGGAGAGAGCTAACGGCTAACAGCTAACAGCTAACGGCTAACAGCTAACAGCTAACGGCTACTGTTGGTTTCTGATTCAAAACCGTCGGTGACGGCAGGCTGAGATTCTCACCTCTGATTGGCTCCAAGAGACAGACTTTACATGTTAGCGTGCCGCGTGTGACGCTCTATGGTTCTCCTTTACCCACAATCCTTTGAGTGCACTCACCTGACGGTGTTCAGTGTAGATATGACTAATGAGCGTGTGAACGTACCCTCCAGCTGGGGGTTGAAGCCCAGCTCCGGGTCGGACGGATCTCCCTTCCTCTCTTTGTCTCCACCAGGGGGCATCATGGGAACTTTGTTGTCTGCCCAGGCCTGGGGGGAGGAGACACCGTGAGAGACAGAACACACACCTGGGCAGAATACACACCTGGACAGAACACACACCTGGGCCAGAAGAATACACACTTGCCACTAAATAATACTCTGTAAGTAACATTACAGGTGAGTGTGTGTTACCTGTCGGAGAAGAGTGTGGTTACCTGTGTACCTGAGTGATGTGTTACCTGTACAGACGGAGTATGTGTTACCTGTACAGAGGGAGTGTGTGTTACCTGTACAGAGGGAGTGTGTTACCTGTACAGAGGGAGTGTGTTACCTGTACAGCTGTGTTACCTGTACAGAGGGAGTGTGTTACCTGTACAGCTGTGTTACCTGTACAGAGGGAAGTGTGTTACCTGTACAGCTGTGTTACCTGTACAGCTGTGTGTACCTGAGTGTGTGTACCTATACAGAGGGAGTGTGTGTTACCTGTACAGCTGTGTTACCTGTACAGGGGAAGTGTGTTACCTGTACAGAGGGAGTGTGTTACCTGTACAGCTGTGTTACCTGTACAGAGGGAGTGTGTTACCTGTACAGCTGTGTTACCTGTACAGAGGGAGTGTGTTACCTGTACAGCTGTGTTACCTGTACAGAGGGAGTGTGTTACCTGTTGGAACTGCGCAGGGATGGGCTTGGCGTACGGGACCTTCTTCTGCGGGACCTTCTTGCTGTCCTTGCCCATCACCTCGTCCATTCCCCAGTCCAGACCCGGGATGGACATCTCCACCTCGGGGGCCTCTTTACCTGGGGACAGGTGAGCCCACATCATTAAGGGCTTCAGTCCTCAGGGGATATCTATTTACACTGGCGCTCCAATTGATTCAACATCCAAAGGTTATCATCAGATGCTCAGCCGCTACAGCTGACCTGAGCTCCTCCTACATATACTAAAGAGTGGCAACAAGTCGACATGTCAACAGAACGTGAACAAGAAACAGAACAGAACGTGAACAAGAACAGAACGTGAACAAGAACAGAACGTGAACAAGAACAGAACGTGACAAGAACAGAACGTGAACGTGAACAAGAACAGAACGTGAACAAGAACAAGAACGTGAACAAGAACAGAACGTGAACGTGAACAAGAACCGTGAACCAGAACAGAACGTGAACAAGAACAGAACGTGAACAAGAACAGAACGTGAACGTGAAACAAGAACAGAACGTGAACGTGAACAGAACGTGAACAGAACAGAACGTGAACAGAACGTGAACGTTGAACAAGAACAGAACGTGAATGTGAACAGAACGTGAAACAGAACAAGAGCGTGACAGAACAGAACAGAACGTGAACAAGAACAAACGTGAACAAGAACAGAACAGAACAGAACGTGAACAAGAACAGAACGTGAACAGACCCGTGAACAAGAACAGAACCTGAACAAGAACAGAACGTGAACAAGAACAGACGTGAACAAGAAACAGAACAGAACGTGAACAAGAACAAGAACGTGAACAAAAACCAGAACAGAACGTGAACAAGAAACAGAACGTGAACAAGAAACGTGAACAAGAACAGAACGTGAACGTGAACAAGAACAGAACGTGAACAAGAACAGAACGTGAACAAGAACGTGAACAAGAACAGAACGTGAACGTGAACAGAACGTGAACAAGAACAGAACAGAACGTGAACAAGAACAGAACGTGAACAAGAACAGAACGTGAACGTGAACAAGAACAGAACGTGAACAAGAACAGAACGGTGAACAAGACACAGAACGTGAACAAGAACGGTGAACAAGACAGAACAGAACGTGAACAAGAACAGAACGTGAACGTGAACAAGAACAGAACGTGAACAAGAACAGAACAGAACGTGAATAAGAACGTGAACAAGAACAGAACGTGAACGTGAACAAGAACAGAACGTGAACAAGAACAGAACAGAACGTGAACAAGAACAGAACGTGAACAAGAACAGAACGTGAACAAGAACAGAACAGAACGTGAACAAGAACAGAACGTGAACAAGAACAGAACAGAACGTGAACAAGAACAGAACGTGAACGTGAACAAGAACAGAACGTGAACAAGAACAGAACAGAACGTGAACAAGAACGTGAACAAGAACAGAACAGAACGTGAACAGAACAGAACGTGAACAAGAACAGAACGTGAACAAGAACAGAACGTGAACAAGAACGTGAACAAGAACGTGAACAAGAACGTGAACAAGAACAGAACGTGAACGTGAACAAGAACAGAACGTGAACGTGAACAAGAACAGAACGTGAACAGAACAGAACGTGAACAAGAACAGAATGTGAACAAGAACAGAACGTGAACAAGAACGTGAACAAGAACGTGAACAAGAACGTGAACAAGAACAGAACGTGAACAAGAACAGAACGTGAACGTGAACAAGAACAGAACAAGAACGTGAACAAGAACAGAACAAGAACAAGAACAGAACGTGAACAAGAACAGAACGTGAACAAGAACGTGAACAAGAACGTGAACAAGAACAGAACGTGAACAAGAACAGAACGTGAACAAGAACGTGAACAGAACAAGAACGTGAACAAGAACAGAATGTGAACAAGAACAGAACGTGAACAAGAACAGAACGTGAACAAGAACAGAACGTGAACGTGAACAAGAACAGAACGTGAACAAGAACAGAACGTGAACAGAACGTGAACGTGAACAAGAACGTGAACAAGAACGTGAACAAGAACAGAACGTGAACAAGAACAGAACGTGAACAAGAACAGAACGTGAACAAGAACGTGAACAGAACGTGAACGTGAACAAGAACGTGAACAAGAACAGAACGTGAACAAGAACAGAACGGGAACAAGAACGTGAACAAGAACAGAACGTGAACAAGAACAGAACGTGAACAGAACAGAACAGAACGTGAACGAGAACAGAACGTGAACAAGAACAGAACGTGAACAAGAACAGAACGTGAACAAGAACAGAACGTGAACGTGAACAGAACAAGAACGTGAACAAGAACAGAACGTGAACAAGAACAGAACGTGAACAAGAACAGAACGTGAACAGAACGTGAACGTGAACAAGAACAGAACGTGAACGTGAACAAGAACAGAACGTGAACAAGAACAGAACGTGAACAGAACGTGAATAAGAACGTGAACAAGAACAGAACGTGAACAAGAACGTGAACAAGAACGTGAACAAGAACGTGAACAAGAACAGAACGTGAACAAGAACATGAACAAGAACAGAACGTGAACAAGAACAGAACGTGAACGTGAACAAGAACAGAACAGAACGTGAACGTGAACAGAACAGAACAAGAACGTGAACAAGAACAGAACGTGAACAAGAACAGAACGTGAACAAGAACAGAACGTGAACAAGAACAGAACGTGAACAGAACAGAACAAGAACGTGAACGTGAACAGAACAGAACGTGAACAGAACAGAACGTGAACAAGAACAGAACGTGAACAGAACAGAACAGAACGAGAACAGAACAGAACAGAACAGAACGAGAACGAGAACAGAACGAGAACAGAACAGAACAGAACGAGAACGAGAACAGAACAGAACGAGAACAGAACGAGAACAGAACAGAACAGAACAGAACAGAACAGAACGAGAACAGAACAGAACAGAACAGAAGAACGAGAACAGAACAGAACAGAACAGAACGAGAACAGAACAGAACAGAACGAGAACAGAACAGAACGAGAACAGAACAGAACAGAACAGAACGAGAACAGAACAGAACGAGAACAGAACAGAACGAGAACAAGAACAGAACAGAACAGAACGAGAACAGAACAGAACAGAACGTGAACAAGAACAGAACGAGAACAGAACAGAACGTGAACAAGAACAGAACGAGAACAGAACGAGAACAAGAACAGAACAGAACGAGAACAGAACAGAACGTGAACAAGAACAGAACAGAACGAGAACATAATAGAACGTGAACAAGAACAGAACGAGAACAAGAACAGAACGTGAACAAGAACAGAACGAGAACAGAACAGAACGAGAACAGAATAGAACGTGAACAGAACAGAACAGAACGAGAACAGAATAGAACGTGAACAAGAACAGAACGAGAACGAGAACAGAACAGAACGAGAACAGAACAGAACAAGAACAGAACAGAACGTGAACAAGAACAGAACGAGAACGAGAACAGAACAGAACGTGAACAAGAACAGAACGAGAACAAGAACAGAACGAGAACAAGAACAGAACAGAACAGAACAGAACGTTTTCAAAATGAGGCCCCAGATCATCCAGAACAAGGGTCTGTGTGGGAGGGTCTCTGTGGGGAGGGTCTGTGTGGGGAGGGTCTCTGTGGGGAGGGTCTGTGTGGGGAGGGTCTCTGTGGGGAGGGTCTGTGTGGGGAGGGTCTGTGTGGGGAGGATCTACGTGGGGAGGGTCTCTGTGAGGAGGGTCTCTGTGGGGAGGGTTTGTGTGGGGAGGGTCTCTGTGGGGAGGGTCTGTGGGGGGAGGGTCTCTGTGGGGAGGGTCTGTGTGAGGAGGGTCTCTGTGGGGAGGGTCTGTGTGGGGAGGGTCTCTGTGGGGAGGGTCTGTGTGAGGAGGGTCTCTGTGAGGAGGGTCTGTGTGAGGAGGGTCTCTGTGGGGAGGGTCTGTGTGGGGAGGGTCTCTGTGGGGAGGGTCTGTATGAGGAGGGTCTCTGTGGGGAGGGTCTGTGTGGGGAGGGTCTGTGTGGGGAGGGTCTGTGTGAGGAGGGTCTGTGTGGGGAGGGTCTGTCTGAGGAGGGTTTCTGAGGGGGAGGGTCTGTGTGGGGAGGGTATGAGGAGGTTCTCTGTGGGGAGGGTCTGTGTGGGGAGGGTATGAGGAGGGTCTCTGTGGGGAGGGTCTGTGTGGGGAGGGTCTCTTACTGCTCTGCTCCTGCTCCATGGCGGCCTTCAGCTGGTCGGGGATCCCCATGCCGGGGATGGAGGCCACGCTGTTCATGTCCACGTCATCTGAAACACACACATCCATCTTCATCATGACAGGTCCCTATCATCCTCCTCCTCCTCTTCATCACTATATCACAGGTCCCTATCATCATCTTCATCACTATATCACAGGTTCCTATCATCATCTTCCTCTTCATCAGTATATCACAGGTCCCTATCATCATCCTCCTCTTCATCACTATATCACAGGTCCCTATCATCATCTTCCTCTCCATCAATATATCACAGGTCCCTATCATCTTCATCACTATATCACAGGTCCCTATCATCATCCTCCTCTTCATCAATATATCACAGGTCCCCTATCATCCTCTTCATCAATATATCACAGGTCCCCTATCATCCTCCTCTTCATCAATATATCACAGGTCCCTATCATCATCTTCCTCTTCATCACTATATCACAGGTTCCTATCCTCCTCTTCATCACTATATCACAGGTCCCTATCATCCTCTTCATCAATATATCACAGGTCCCTATCATCCTCTTCATCAATATATCACAGGTCCCTATCATCATCTTCCTCTTCATCACTATATCACAGGTTCCTATTATCCTCTTCATCAATATATCACAGGTCCCTATCATCATCCTCCTCTTCATCAGTATATCACAGGTCCCTATCATCATCTTCCTCTTCATCAATATATCACAGGTCCCCTATCACCCTCCTCTTCATCAATATATCACAGGTCCCTATCATCCTCCTCTTCATCAATATATCACAGGTCCCTATCATCCTCCTCTTCATCAGTATATCACAGGTCCCTATCATCATCTTCCTCTTCATCACTAAATCACAGGTCCCTATCATGATCCTCCTCTTCATCACTATATCACAGGTCCCTATCATCATCTTCCTCTTCATCAATATATCACAGGTCCCTATCATCATCCTCCTCTTCATCACTATATCACAGGTCCCTATCATCATCTTCCTCTTCATCACAGGTCCCTATCATCCTCCTCCTCTTCATCAGTATATCACAGGTCCCTATCATCATCTTCCTCCTCATCACTAAATCACAGGTCCCTATCATGATCCTCCTCTTCATCACTATATCACAGGTCCCTATCATCATCCTCCTCTTCATCACTATATCACAGGTCCCTATCATCATCTTCCTCTTCATCAATATATCACAGGTCC